TGGATGTCCGTGGAGAAGTTATTTAACCGCTCCAGCCCCCGGGTTTCTCACTGCTGAGCTCAGTCTGACAGTAGTTATCTCACAGGATAACAAAATGATAAAGTGATTCTAAGTGTTTGCTAATATTTTTCAATTCCCTGCCTGGGAGAGCATATGGCTCGTGTTGCCCCAGACTCAAAGGGGAGAAGAGGGTTGAATACGTGTATATTGATCACGGAGAGGATGTAAGGCCTTACATAACAGCACATCCATATGTATTAGTAGCTGGATAAATCAGTCGGAGGGAAGTATTAAGACCTGAGACAGCCAATATTCACCTGCTTTTCAAAGCACAGTGAATTTAAATCTGGGTCTCAAACTGTAGTCAGCGTGTCTGGGAACCTGCAGAACATGTTCTCCTCTATTATTGAAGAAGGCAGCTGCCGAGTCGATGTCAACTTTATTGTAAAACTACTTAATAGGATTCACAATTATGGGAGGACGAACACGCTGGAGACGCTAATGGAGGGTCTGCATTCGGGATGTGGAGACAAAGAGCCCTGTCAGCCTTCGCATCAGCTATTGTTTCACAGAGAAAGGTGGGCGATCAGAGACAGCGACTCCCAAGAAAGGGAACTCCCACTGATCTGCCGCCACTATCCCTGCTAATCAGGAGAGTGAAAAATACCAGTAGAAAACACATGTCAATTTTTGGTACAGTAAGGAACTATTCTATGCATATTTTATCCCACTGTGTTCAATCTTTCTGCCCTATTTGATACCCAGAATCCTTTAACTCTTGAAGCTCTGCTAATTGCTGTGATAGGACAACGTCCTCGTTTTCCTTGCATCATCCTGACCAATCTTTCTTTGTTTCCTCAATGGTATTCAATAAGCTGTCAAGTCTCTGTGGATATTCTCTCAGGCTCGGCCCTCAAGCATCCATTACAACCAATATACAACTTTCAGCTATTGTTATGGTTTCAAATTTCACCTCTATACATATAATTTCTGAAAATTTAATTAAGCACAAACTTTCCCTTTGAATGTCATTTATGAACTTCTAAATGATTAATGAATGCTTGTGTGAAAATTTGGTTGTCATCGGAAAATCAGCATGCCTGGAGTTAACTGATTTTTCCTCCAAAGTGAATTCTTTACCCAATTGTTTACTTAATCATAATGTCATCACACTAGAATTTATGCTAAATAGTGCAGTCAAAGAATTCCTCTTTAACATTACTTATCAAATTTCCAATCTTTCTCTTGCTCATAAACTCTCAATGGCTACCCATCTCCTATGGGGAAAACATTCTATTTGGTTGCAAGTGAGAACTTCTGTGTTCTGTTAATCTCTTCAGCGCACTACCTGGGTTTTTGTGTTGTGTGCTGTAAGCTACAGTAATTGTTTACCATTCTGACTTACACCCCTTAGATTTCTGCCCTCAGTTTCCTTAGTCTGGTCCATTCCTAACACTCAAATTTGCCCACAGGGACTCTTCTCAATCTGTTTCATGCTATTATCTAGTCACTCTCCTAAATGTGCTCAGATTATTCTTTCTTTCCCATTTTTTTTTGGGGGGGGGGAGTGATTCCTCTTACTTTTTTGCTGTCCAGTCTTCAAAGTCCAGTCCACTTTCAAGTCCCCCTCAGACCTCCGTCTTTAACTCTCCTAGTAACATCAATCTCTATTCACACTCAACTTGTCCCCAGTGAACTTTTAACTCTTCTTATTTTGTATTCTTTGAGCTTTCTTTCTTGTAATTTCTTTCGTATAATTACCATTTTTCTAATTATAGATGGTGTCTAACTTACAATGTTTGACATTATTGTGGTGTAAAAGTGATATGCATTTGGTAGAAACCATACTTCAAATGCTCAATCATTCTGATTTTTGCGCAGTATAATATTCAATAAATTGCATGAGATATTCAAAACTTTATTGTGAAATAGGCTTCGTGTTAGAGATGATGCCTAACATCAGGCCAACGTGAGAGTTCTGGTCACGTTTAAGGTGGGCCATGCCTCGCTGTGCAGTTTGGTAGGTTTTCTGTATCAAAGGCACTTTCCACGTATGACATTTTAAATTTATGATGGGCTTGTTGGGATGTGACTTAATTGTAAACTGAGGAGCATCTGTATTTCTTACTATCAAAGCTGCTCTTGTCTTTGACTCTTTCCTTTACTTACAGCTAGATTGCTGTTTTACTTTTGATGCTTATCTATTTCTCCTGCACACTCATTTTGTGTTCCCAGATACATTATAAAATCCTCTTTGGGAGAATAGATGTGCAATATTTTTGTGTCATTCCCATATTCTTGCACTATGTTATGAAGAAAGTAGAGGCTCTAAAATGTTTACTGAATGAGTGAATGTGGAGAAAAGAAAATGATGTTGATGGCGGGTATTTGTTACACTTAGAGCTGAGCCCTGGACATCATGAACTTCAACTGTGTGGGTCACTTACACGTGGACTTTCTTCCACCTCTGCTGCCCCTGAAACAGTGAAACCAGCTGGTCCTCATCCTCCCCATTCTCAGCCTACTCACAGTGAAGACCGTTACCATGATCCACTTTTATTTAATGTATTTTCTCTTCTTTATTATTTTCTTAATAACATTTTCTTTTCTCTACCTTACTTTTTTGTAATAAGACAGTATACAACACGTAAACATACAAAATACACATTCATCAAATGTTTATATTCCCAGTAAAGCTTCTGATCACCAGTAGGCTATCAGCAGTTAAGTATGGAGTCAGGGGTGCGGCAAAAGTGATATGAGGATTTTCAACTGGGCAAGGGGTTGGCACCCCTAACCTCTATGCTTTTTAAGAGTCAACTATAATACTTTTGAAAAAAATACACTGAAAAAATTCTGCATTTTGAATATGATGATTTTAGATAGTTTATTTTGGACATCATTTTCTTTTATTATCTGATCAGCAACTTAACTGGAATAAAGGCTAATGTATCTACACCTGTTTTATGCAGTGCCAGTGACTGGCTATAAAAGTCATTAAATGCTATGTATCAGCTAATGAAGGAAGTCAGAGAACGCACGCAGAATGGCAGGACATAAGTGGAGACATATTTGATAGTTTCCCCTAATGCTG